ACGTCATATGGGTAATTACTTTGTTTTTATAGTCGTATTATAACTCAACATTTTATACAACACCATTGCATGCATGATTGATCTTTACCAATGTAACAGATTCATCTGATAATGTTTAGTGATTACATAACACTATGTCAAAATACTGTAAAATGACAAATTTTCACTGGGTTTAAATTTCGCTGATTTACGCCTCCAGGCATATTCAGTGGGTTTTAAATTCATGATTTTTTATCATTTAGATGTGTTCTTTGCTGAATTTTACATGTTCACTGGGTTTTAATTTAGCGCATTTTCCACTCAGCGAAATAAGCAGTGAATAATTAATCCTTTTACAGTAGTAACAATGGTATAATGTTAATTTAAGCAATCTTAATTGTTTTAGGTGTATTATACAGCTTCTGGGAATGCACCCCAACAAGTACCTATGGTGAGCATGGCAACACCACAGGGAACTCAATTGGTTTATATGATGCCAGCAACGGGAATGCAAGGTATAGTATAGTTAATTCACACACTTTTAATTAGTCCCCGTTCGGACGGAGTCCGAAAACGGGGACTTATGTTTTGCCCTGTGTGCGTCCGTCCGTCCGTCCGTCCGTCCGTGATCACCTGTATCTCAAACATGCATGGACCGATTATGTTCAAACTTCACTCATACATCACACATTATATGGGACATATGCACATGCATTTGTTTCATGATCCCATTAACGATAGCCAAATGGCGGCCGCTTTAAGGCCGAAAATGCATTGAAATCGCACATTTTCACCATTCCGAACCCGGATCTCAGTTATGCATGGACGGATTTCGTTCAAATTTGGTACTTACATTAAACATAATAGGACCTTGATGCACGTCATTTTTTTTCCGGATCAAGTTCGAAATGGCCGACTGGCGGCCATTTTCTTAAAGAATTCAGTTCTGGATCCGTATCCAAGACCTGTCTGGATTGATCAAGTTCAAACTTCACACACACATGGTGCATCATGTCACAAATAGATATGTGCATTTGTTTCATGATCCGCTTAACAATAGCTGAATGATGGCCATTTTAAGACCGAAAATGCATTAAAATCACGTATTTTCACAATTCCGGAACCAGATCTCAGTCATGCATGGATGGATTTTGTTCAGATTTAGTACAATGTGTTGTACATATGCAGGTACATTTCGGTCATGATCTGCTTTGAATGTATATGTCACTCAAATATGAACGGAACGGGGACGTGTCATTGACAATGACTTGTTTAGGTAAAGTTTTAAGTTAGATCATTTACAATTGTTGATTTCATTTTTACAGGTGTCCAGCAACCTATGGTAGCATCAGGCTGTAGTCAACAGCCTGCCATGGTGATGGTGGTACAGGGGCATCAGAGTGACAAAAATCAACCTCAACAGCAACCATCTGCGCCATCTTCGGAACAAGCACCACCACCCTATTGTAATATTGATAACCAGGCTGTACCTATGGTGTAAAGCTTATAAATGTATTGTTGAAATTTCAGCGGGAAAGTTGGTCTGTTTTACACCACTAGACTTTTGAGTTCATGATACTATTTACTGCATATATATAAAATACTATGTGGTTACGAGGATACCTCAATTTAAAGTATGCACGAAGACAGTACAGCTGGAGTATCGACCGACCCGCAGCGGAGGTCGATGTGACGGTGTACTGTCTGAGTACTGTACTTTACTGTCTTTTTCTTCCAAGGATACATCATGGGAATGCCGAAATCCAAAATGTTCAGAACAAAATCAGAGAACTTTTGTGTCCAGTCAAACCCTGGTGGCAGCCATGTTTGTTTTTATTATTAGAGGACACTTGCGCGCGTAATCATTCCATATTTGGAATTCGCATTTCCTTATATGGTAGGATGAAAATACTCTATGGTCGGAAACGAGGGCTATATTCATGTACTACCCTTATCCCACGAGTGTGTAGATCATTTTACAGGGAATTGCCCATGGCCATGCATTTATTTCCTTTTTCATTGAAGCGTAGCAGCACAATATCCATGCATGGAAGGAGACCTGATATTGTTTTAGCAATGTTCAGTGCATGACTAGAAAGTACACAACTAGCTGAAAGGTACTTCAAATGATAGTAAACTTTTTCTCAGTTTACGGCAAGTGCCATGACATATGAAGAATAATACTCTTCCAAACAAGTCATGCAAACTTGTGATGAATATGTGATTTTTCATTCACTGCGAAAATTGATTGATTTGATTTTTAACTTGAATTTCTTATTTTCATTTATATATCAATATTAAAATGCCAATCTTTCAAAGGGAAACATGGCATTGTTATGCTGTATAAGAAATGAGAATCATATCTACAATAAGAGCATACCCGCCACCAATTGCATTTGACAGTTGCTGGACTGAAATATTTTTTTGGCTAATTTTATATTGTAAATGGGAAATCGGGGCAGCCTTGAGCAAGGGGCCATTTGTCAGTTTAAATATTTAGGCAAGAAACCTCAATGTACTATGTGAAAAAAACAAATGGTTGTCTGTCTTGATGCTCTGGGTGAAAATTTCATTTCTTCACGTGAATCGTACTTTGCCATTATGAATTAAGTGTCAAAAAATAGTACAACCGATATGCTTTGGGTGTGTTTTATTGCATTCAAAAACTTCAAATATAAATTGTACATTAATTGTAATTAGGTTATTTAACTGTCAATGTTAGTAAACTTGTGTGAAAATGTGAGACAATACTGTTCATTAATAATCACTCTAGTATGCAGGGATATTTTTAAACAAGGGAACAGGGGCGCAGCGCCCTCATGCCATGGCCATGCGCCTCTTTCTAGAAAAACCTGTGAGTATGTGTCGTATATATATATATATACTTGTATATTTTTGTAATTTTATTTAGTTAAATTATACATTTGTTATAATTTTATTCATCGCATATTTATGACATGCAAATGAGGCAGATATTTTGACCAATCAATTTGTACACGTACATGTACGTGAACCCAAGGGGTTTGTGCATGTCTATTTCCTGGTGGAATTGGGACATAACGCTACTCGTATTATGCCGATTAAACAGCATGAATAATATATGTAATAAATTCTGTTTTGGTTGTGCATGGAATGTTGTCTAGTGTTTGGTTACACTTTTTAACAGGGTGATGTGAATAAAACTTGCAGTTCAAAGTCAACAGATTGGAGTAAGTGTTCTAATTAAATGGATTAGCTTGACTAGTAATGTGGCGCAGAACTCATTGTGAGATTCATTGTCCACCTAATCTTCTTGCTTTTATAAAAGTCGCATTTAATCTCTCTTTTTTGTCAAAACAATTTGAAAATAAAATGTTTGAGCTGCTAATTATATTTCGATACTAGAACTTTTTAATATTTTGCGTTCAGCATTACAATTCTACAATATCTTTTCCCAAAACAGTGCCTGGTCATCCAATGTTAACACCTTATGATCAAATGACAGCTTACTTGTTGATGGGTTTCACAATTCATGCAGATTCTTTCATTTGTACCAGATATCCACAGGTCATTGCTTTTCTATATGAATCAAAGTCTACTTTTGTGGCTTGAAGGAGTTTTAACTGTCCGGTCGTTAACATACAAGTAGGATTATAAGATAAGGAAGTTATTCGAATAGGGGTACAATAACTCATTTATGAGAAGGTATGCATAGATATGTATGTACTCGATGGTGCCCGATATACTTGCCGCTGCCACCACTCGGTGAGTTCACGGTTTTTTTTCATGCATTTGTCGACGCCAGTATATATGCATGTATTGGTTATATTCACACACGTTACAACATTGATATCAAGGTCAAAACTTTTTTTCATTTTATACTGTAATAGTATTTGCCCATCCTTGAATATACCCCCACAAAAAATGTTTATATCATACAGACATCAAAATGTATTTTGCCTTTTTATTGTCTGAATAATCTCCGTGCAAGACGGGGCAACTAACATGCACCTCTTTCTTACAAGACAATATGTGGAGGCAGTAAGGTGGAACAATATACCTTGAACATTTAAGATACACATATTCAGTATGCAAAATAGTCCAAAAAACATAGAAACACCAGTGTGTAAATTTGTGATTACCCATAAAAGAAACCGCCACTTGAAAAAAAAAATCCTGTTATATTCAAAGGGTTAATTATAAGGTTACAGGTTTATATAAAATACATATATAAGGAACATATTCCAAAAATAACCAGTCTAGAATTTAAAATACAATGTATTATCTATATTAAATTTTGTAATTTAACAATCCTACAGTAAGTTTAATTAATTCCCAGAGACTAGTGAAATAATACAAATTTTTTTGTTAACTCATTTACCATCAGACAACTTTTGACAAAATATCCCTCTTTAAAATTAGCTGGTTCTAAGGTGTTCAATTATTAAGAATCTGAATATATAAAGAAAAGCATAAAATGATAACACACATCACAACAGTAATTATAATACAGCTTGTACAAACATTAATTTAAGATGTTTAACCAACAAAAACAATATAATTTATCTTGGTTATATTTACAGTGGGTATAAAGCGGCACCACCATAGTCAATCAGTGTCATATTACAATGTGATTCTTGCATTATAAGTGATGTACATTGGGTGTAAAAGCCTTGTTTTTCTCAAAACTCGATTGACTGATAAATGTTAAGATAGAAATACCCAGAATTCATTCATTTTTCAATAAACTACTTCAGGGCAATGTAATTATATTGATTTGGTAGGTCACCAACGTAATTTTCAAGAAAATGAGTTTGGGTACAAATTTCACTGCTATTAAGTTTATGATAAATTGAGAACAACTGAGCTATATTTAACTGACAATCACTTGCTGTATGGTCTTGTGCCATATACTGTAAAATACTTTTACTTTCGCTTGGAATTAATTTTCACTATTTTTGCTGAGAGAATGATTCAGTGAAAATAAAATACAGCGAATATATTTTCCTATATTTTAACATACAACCCAAAAAGTCGCTTCAACGAAAATTAATTCCAGCTAAAATAAAAGTATTTTACAGTACTAGTAACATGAAAACTGAATAACAAGTTATTGCCTTCACATACTTTCCAAATTTACTGCACCAGAGGTAATGTCTGGGTATCAGCAACATATTCATTGCCTGCAGTGCTAGAGTAGGACGGTGGAGGAGATGAAGTATCCACTTCTTTCTCTGCTCCCATATTCTGTTGTTCTTGTCCCTGTGGTATTGGCTGGGGTTGGGTTTGTTGATTGACCTGTCCCTGTGGTATTGGCTGGGGTTGGGTTTGTTGAGTGAACTGTACCTGTGGTATCATCATGGTGGGTTGCGGTTGTTGCTGCTGCTGCTGCTGTGGATAATTATTGCCAGAAACTACCATAGGCTGATACTGTTGTACACCTGTTGGACGCACAAAAAAACAATTAAGTGTTAATTAAGTGTGCATCTTTTCTAACAACTCTTAATTAAACTCCTTGATTGCACACTCAGGTAGGTTTCACTCTATACTATGTTTGTAGAAGTAGCAAAAAAATACTTTTCCTGGAATATAAACAATTTTTTTTCAATACTGTAAGCTAAACATGCATTCCATCTCAAATTCCCTAAAACAAAAGTTTTTTTTTTTTTTGCACATCTAAATCAAGGTATAGTGGCAGACCTATGTTGAATATGAGTGTATAACCAAATGAGACACAAATTATATAAATAAGAAAAAATGATATGCAACTTTCATATCCATGATGTCTGCAATACAGGTCTAATTGAAATCACATGATAGGAATAACTGGCATACTTTGCATATTGAAATCCAAGAGTGTAATAATTGAAAATCCTCGGACAAATCGCACCTCAACATGCAAAAAACTTTTGTGAATAATAATAGTAAGGTCTGTTTTCTAGAACCCCAAATCGGAGGTTAACAGACATGCGACTATATATAAGGCAGAAGGCAGACTCACCAAATATGCAAGAGCATATGAAAACAATCTGAATCAAACCAATTTCATTTACATACATTTTTCATGTCCAGAAGATCTTCATACTGTAAAATACTTTATTTTTGCTTGAAATAAATTTTCGCTAATTTCGCTGAAGGGGAATTTAGTGAAAATAAAATCCATCAATTATACCCGTTTTCCTATATTTTAAATTCAATTTGTCAAAAGTTAGTAAAAAAATAAATTCCATAACAAAAACACCCAAAAAGTCTTTTCAGCAAAAATTTATTCCAGCTAAAATAAAGTATTTTACAGTACTTCATCTTTAGAATGGAAGCATAATTTTATAATTTCTTTATATCTGAACCTTTGTTATATATAATGATATAATTTTCACTGTACCTGGTGCTTGTTGGATGACTTGCATTCCTGTAGATGGCACCATATAAACTACTGGTGTCCCCTGTGATGATGCCATGTTGACCATAGGGACTTGCTGAGCTGTGTTACCAGGCTGAGCAGAAGGAACGAAATACATCTACAAATAAATTAGTTTAATTCATTAAAGCTGACATATAGTCATCAGAAAAATGGGTATGTAACAATTGAGTGCACTGTATGTATTAAGATTTAAACCGAAATGGCAGGCACATCTGATTTAGAGTAAAATGAAATACACCATGTACATATGAGGTCATGATGCACTCACGGTCTATGTACAAACAGGGAACATAATTAATAATTTTCATGCATAAGAAATCAGTGAATTTGAAAAAAAAATGACTGCCATGAGAAGCACTTGTTCTCTACACAAAAGTGACCAATCAAACATAACTTAGATTCAGCATAACTATCACCCACATACTTTAAATTATTTTTTTTAATTTAGCATATGCGTGAATGTTAAATGTAGAGAATCACCCGCCAAGTGATTACAAGGATTTAAAAAAGTTAGCAAAGTGCAGTATGATAGGTAATTAATATCAAAATTTGTACATGGAGATGAATCTAACCCGATGTAGTATCAGATTTTGGCGTGGATACAGCTACATGTATTTGAACAGCTCTGTTTTGTCTTCTATGATGACAGAGGAGCTAAACAAGCAGCCTCTTGGCTGAGATACAAAATGTAGCTCTGCTGTTAGCAATTAATATTCCACTTAAAGAATTGGAGATATCATCAAAAATGAACAAACTTACAGAGGTCCACCTGTAGAACTTTTATGTATAATATCAAATCAATCAGACTTGCCGCTTTTAACAAAAACTAAAAAATATCCGTGAGAATTTAAGAGAAGAATAAATCTGAGAGAGTTCACCTGTAGTACCTATATGTATAATATCAGAGCAATCAGACTCGTGGTTTTTACCAAAAATTACAAAAATAGTCGACTACAAAGCTAAATGGTTGATACATACTGGTAGATTTCATTAATGACACTAATGATATACAAGAGTTGGCAGAGCCATCTCGATGCTGGGAAAATATTTAAAGGTGTGTTTTGGAGCAATGGATTGGCGAACAGACAGAAAAGCAATTTCAAAGACTTTGACTTTGTTTTAATGAAAACTTGAAGTATACATGAGGGTACATGTTATTATTAATTATTTTGGAAACTCAATTTTTAACTGAAGGAATTAAACTAAATTAAATAATCATATTCGTTTATTTTGAACCTTAAAAATCGACACTCTTTGACGCCCATGCATTTTTTATATTTTACTGTGATATATGACTCAGGCAATCTGTAATACAGAGTTACAGAAATCGACAACCCTTTTTTATTAACAAAGCTCGATATGCATCACCGAAATCGACACTCATTCACAAACTCATTAACACATATGCTGGCCGAGTACGGTCACTGGCAGAGTGAGAATCTGGCCGAGTTCGGCGGTCACCAAAATGACTACTGTTCAACTCAGGACGTTTAATTGTACTTAGCACTTAGCGTATGTTACTATGACAATCAACGAATTTGAAAAAAAACGTTGACAATGACTAAATGCATGGCCACAGCCAAATCAGCAGCTATGTTTGTTTCACCTCGATCAATACAGTATTACCCACGATGCACTATTCCCATAAGCATGGGTATGTGGAAGTTCATAGCCAAGCAGGATGCCAAGCGTACTGCGGTCAAGAACAAGGTAAGAAATTACGTGACGAGACCATCCCGATTTGCCGTCGATTTCTGGGTTCGGGTGCGTTTTATACAAGAAGATCGATACGCACTACACTGCTGAGTGTAGTAGACATAATCCTGATGGCAATAGGAAGTTCGAAGGAAGCTAATACAGTTGATTTATCACAGACGAAGTAAATGGAAATAACTTTTCAGTCCTCATTGAGGTAAAAACGCATTTAAATGAGTTGGTGAACAAGAGACGATGACAACTTCACGTTGTGGCAGATTTACACACTACTACAGTTTGACTAAAATTTACAAACACCACGGTCAGTCACACAAAGTCCCCCAAATTCAAAAGAGATTTTTAAATGCGTTGGGGAACACGAGACGAACAATTGTGCATACTTAGATGACGACGTTATGACGTGAAAATGGCAATTTAAAACTTTGCTTGCAGATTTTCATAATACATAATACTACAGTTCGATAACACTGCCAGTCACTCAAAATCTATCAAAAGGGAACTGCAAGTTGTATAATGCCGAAATTTCACCACGATTTCACAACTTTCGAAATACGTTCGCTTTTTTTGATGTCCACTATACACCAGTAAATGTCTTCCAGTTCGCAAGAACACAAAGCCTAAACTTATCAGAAATTCGTAACACATAATTCAAGTGCTGGTATAACACAATAACTCATCATTTGTAAATTCAATCCATCGAAAAAGTATAAAAAACATTTCTATAAACAATTTTTATTATATAAATACACTTTGAAAAGAAACAAGATTCATAAACATAAATCTATTTGAATACATTCTCACTACAAATTACACAATACTTATTTTCTAATGGAATTTCTTCACAGCACAAACTATTGGAATCATGCACATGTGTGAGTACTTCGGTGACACATTTATAGCTACGCCCAAAATAGTCCATCATTTATTGCACAACTGTGATTAAACGACATCATTCTGTTAACATCCACACACTTTTTGACCTTTCATAAGTAAAATACACTACAATTTACTCCAGAAAAACAATTTTCTTGGTACATTCCTACATACTAATGAGGGGTTCAGACACATTTCAAACTGAACAATTTTCTTGGACTAATAAAGCTGGTCAATCTATTCCCAGCAATAATGTGAGTGCATATCTCATATATGACCTTGTGTGATGTTAACTGATCTAATTTGCTTTGGTTACATTTCATAATTGCTTTAAATTACAAGTGATGAACTTACTGCGTTTTGTGTTTTTTTACAGCAGACAGCACGACAACAGAAACAGGCACTGAGGATTGCAATGACGCCAACTATGATGGACACGATCAAATTGATACTATGAGAAGCAACACAGCTTGCCTGCAGACAAAAGACAAACAGGACATGATCATTTGCTACAATTAAACCATTTTCTTCTGACATGTGAAATTCATAAACATTTCTATCATGGTGGGAAAAAGGCAATTAACAGTATACAATTAGACTTCATGTACAGATTCTTGTCTCTTTTTTGGGAAAACTGACAATACAGGCAAATCAAGTTAGCGCTAAAGTACTTACATAGCGTCCTGAGCTGCATGTATCATAATCATAATAATAATAATAGCATCTTTCCTGGACAGCAACACCAACTGCAGACATGGGAAGCAATGCTGCACCAGCCATTACAGCTGCTATGATTGACAATACCATGTTAGCAATGATCTACAAACACAGAATAAAAAGACAGCATGGCAATGAGAGAGTATAATGATACAACATGAACATAGATACAAGTCAACTCTTAAATACCTTAGTGAAAATAACTGAATTAATACAGACTCAATAGACAAATTGCGAGTTCCGTCATTACCTTAGAAACTTTCACACTCCAGTGTAAAAGCATTTCAAATTTGTCTGTGTAGGGGGGGGGGGGGGTTTCGCCGCATAAACATTCGATAATGAACAAGAACGCCAAGAACCAGGGCAATCAGCTAATGCATTGTGCGAGCTAGAAATCAACCCCTTCCCATTCTTGCACTAAAACTGACCTATGGAATGCCATGAACCAGGTAAACTAGCCAATGAATTGCGTGAGCTAGAAATCAACCCCTCCCCATTCTTGCACTAAAACTGACCTATGGAATGCCATGAACCAGGTAAACTAGCCAATGAATTGCGTGAGCTAGAAATCAACCCCTCCCCATTCTTGCACTAAAACTGACCTATGGAATGCCATGAACCAGGTAAACTAGCCAATGAATTGCGTGAGCTAGAAATCAACCCCTCCCCATTCTTGCACTAAAACTGACCTATGGAATGCCATGAACAAGGTAAACTAGCCAATGAATTGC